CTTCTGACTGGGGAAATCTGAAATGTTAATGCAGTTTTGAATGGTATTTCCTTGAGTGCTTTGAAAATATTCAGACAGTAAACACAGCATGATACTTTGCTAGTGTCTTCCTTTCTTGGAATTCCTTTTAGTTATTCTTCAATGAAAAGTGTTGCATACTCTAACCAAATTGAGTGTGCCCATTTGTATACATAAAATATAGACACATTTTCATTCTGAATTTCTCTCTTTTTAAAATAAATTTTTGACTATATATATTTTTCTAAATGACATTCATGTTTTCCAAGCTCTGTGACTCAAACAAGTCCAAGTGTGTTTTATTTCTACACAAAGTGACAGATTTGAAAATCTCTTAACACATCAATTTTAACACTAAAAATTGCCCTTTATTGTTTTAAATGTTGAATCTGTATAATATCAAGTCCATTTCTCAAGAGAGTTTTAAATAAATTTTCTGTTGTGTTTATAGTATTGCTGAGTATGTTTGCTAGTTAAGCACTGATTTAAATTGTTTTAGATATATGCATATCAGTGTTTGTTATCAGGGAACACATTCTCTCTTAATTCTTCCTGGTTTTACCCCAGCAGAAGCCAGATGAAGGAAAGCATCTCAGCTTCATCTGGAATGCATAAGATAGTGTCTCATTTGGAAAGTACTGTTGCACAAAATGTAATGGTCTTATCTCCAATTGCAATGACTTCATATCTATGAACATGGTGGTGTCTAAAGAGTGATGATGAAATCTATATGTAACTCATAACTGACATTATTTTTAACAGAGTGATTCTGAGCAAGATAATGAGTGTACTTCTTGTCTATTTGGTGTATTCCGTTCACCCACAAAAAAAAGAATAAAAGGATATGTAAAAGGTAAGATACACATAGGATACAAAATATAATAGAGAGACTATTGCCAAAAAATATGAGCACTAGCATAGAGTAATTGTTCAAAGAATATGTCTATTAAGTAGCTAGCAAGGAAAAAGGAAGATAAGAAGTGGCATCTTTTAGGTTTCATTCACAGGTTAAATTGGGAGTATTGCTAAATGAATACAATTGTGAGTTGCATTTAAGACATGCTTCTATCACGGGTAAATCTAAAATAAGGCAAAAGCAAGAAGAAGATGTAATGAAGACTGAGAAAGACAGTGAGTACATGGAGTCAAAAAGAAAAAGAGGAATAAGTTTTACCAAGGAGAGGGCGGGAAATTCAAGCCACATATGAGAAAGGTAAAGAGCAGGGTTTTCAAAATGTGGGAAGAATTTGTGAGTTTCAAACTACAAAGATGAATGAAGGGGAGAGTACATCTTTCTGAACCTTCATGACTTATTCACACTTGGAAATGAATTGAGGAATAAACACTTGATGCCACAAAGCTAAGTTTATTTACCATAAATGATTAGGCATGTACAAAATTTAGTGACAACATTTTGTTACACCCTAGGACAAAAACACAGTGAAGAAACAGCAAATGGAAAAGGCAAAAGAAGTACAAATAGTTGTGGAGCATTCCTGAAACCCACAGGTATCTAAAATTAATGTTGGAAAAAGATTACAGATTCTTCTAAACTTGACTTTGAAGGGACATCCTAAGGTAAAATCCAGAGCTATATTCAAATTAACTTAGAGGAATTGGAAACTGACAAATTTCACACTGGAACTCTGAAAACATAAGGAATCATCTCTTGGGGATCATGTCCAAAATCTCATTCTGACTGAGCAAGTCTTTCCTTCTCCATGTCCATTACATTCTATAGTGATTCCAAAGATCCTTTGGAATGTCCTTTTGAGAAATATGCAAGAACAGCTACGGGTTCCTGCAGTTTAGGACACAAGCAGATCAATTGCAAGGACAAATATTGAGTTCATTCTAAACATGTCTCTTGAGAATTGAGAGGGACTCAAAAGACTAAGATGAAGAAATTATATTTCCATGATAAATTTGTTACATTGCCAGGAAAGAAAGTGGGCAAAAATCCATTCAAAGAATGTAAAATGGAAAGAAACAAGCCTCCACTCTAGGGTTCTTTTTGAAAAGCTAAAGGGAAGGGAAAATGAAGGAGGAATCATGAAATTTAGCTAGGAAATATGAGTAAATGGAGAGAATACTCTTCAGGGCTTTACAGTTTGTCTCATTTCATATCAATATCTGATGGAGAGATGATTATAGAACTAGTGGGGGCTGGAAGAATAAAGGCAACCTACAGCTGCCAATTTCTCTCCTCCATATGTAGCAGGCCCCACAATGTGTGAGGCATCCATATATGTCATTCAGAAGAGCAACATTGCATTTTTGAAGAATTAATTGTTTTAAAGAAAGCTAATATTTCCATTCATACTATTCTTATCATTAGTATCATTAATTTTGTTTAAGCCATTATTTTTTGGTGCTTCGTTGGGAAACCATGCTGCTTACATGCCAAGAATCCACAGTACTGCTGAGATACCTTCTGAACTCTAGAGGACAAATGTTGTTCTGAACTGGGACTTTTTTGAAAATACTTTAAAAGCCTTGTAGATATGCCACATCAGACTCAAACTGGAACCAGAAATCTTTATGCAGTTTACTCCTCAAAAACCAACACCATTACTCTTATTTACCAATTTCTTCAAAACATAATAGTTTATTGATATCTGCAATTTCTGCAAGATTTCAGAACAATTTTTTGATGGACTAGTCTGAATCCTTTGTGCTTTATCATATTTCTTTCTTTTTTTTTTTTTTTTTCATAGATGTTGGATCACTTTCTTCACACAACAGAGGAAAAATAAAATTGGTGTTGGTTGAGCCACCTGATACAGGAAAGGAAGCTATATCAGTTTCCCACATGGGTATGGATAAACACCCAGATGGTGTTAGCTGACTTTCTGTAAACACATACATCAGAAAATTCTCCATGATGAGCAAACAATTATATCTTCCCCCGCACTTACATCACCACTTTAGACTTGTTAATTATAAGGCAAATAAGGGATTGGAAAAGGACTTATAATGAAATGGATTAATAGATTCTGATAAGATTCACTAAAGATGTGTACTGCCACATTTTAAAAGCTTTGACATTGAATTTCTCAGGGGTGTTCTTTCCTCCTTTAAATACAGTTCATTCTGCATCTCGACATAATTGTATAATTGATCATTTCAAAAATGATCTTTCCTCTGGAAACTTAACTGCAAATATTACTGAACCCACATTCCTGGTTTGGTTTTAGTACTTTGAATCTTGTGACTTTACTCAACACACATGTAATTCATTTTACTGCTTTTATATAAAATGAATGTGTTATTTATTGGCAAACAGTTTTCCAGAAATTTTGACTGAGTTGTAAATCAAGAATGTGCTTGCACATACCAAGGAAGTGTTTGCTAATCGTTCTATGACATATTTTATTTCTTTATTTTACCTCAATTGTGGGCACTAAAAAAAGGTCTTTTTGCATGCTAAGCAAAAAGTTGCTGTCTCACTGAACGTCTCCCACAGACCTCTCTAATTCTCTAGTGGGTTTTCTAAATCCAGGTTTCAGAAAATTGTGCACCAAGCACCTAAATGAGTTCCTTCAACACAGGAAGATATTTTTACAGAAGAAACTACATGGTACATGAAAACAACATTCACAGTTCCTACGTTTTATTACACATCCCATTTGAAACCTTGCATTACAGTCGGGATCTCAAAGCACACAGAGCCACTTTCTTTCTTGTTCATTTAATTAAAATGGGTTCCATAAATCTCACTGAAAATTTTATACCCTCTGTATTTTTGGAAAAATTCCATCCAATCAGGCCTGCATCAATTTTCTAGTGCACTGCTGCCTTCTCACTATTCATCTCCATTCGTGCACATGCCACTCAAGGTCACATGCTTATCACATTGAGGTTGGTTTTACTATTTATGCGTATAGTGCATATATGACCATAAGACACGGATTTCCGTGCATCTTAAATTTCCTAAGAATCTTTCTTAATACAAATTTTTCCTCACTGTGTATTTTGATCCCTCTCTCTGCCTGCGATGTCCCCTGGCAGTTCTCCTTGCCAATCCCTATAGTCAGTCAGGCATGTTCCATTTAAGCCCTGTGTGTATGTACAGTCTCACATGCCCTCAGCATTTCCTCCCTCTGGCAGATAACCTCACTTTTGAAGTCTCCATTAATCTCTATCTCTAGAAAAGACATCATCCCTGTCCCCTATTTTCTCCTCTAGTTCTTACCACAAATTCAATTACAGGTGGAAATAAATAAAGCTTTTGACAGTAATATGATATAAAAGCAGTCCTCTCAAGTCCAGTAACTGATGAACTGGGTAGGAAAATGAATACTTTACAGCTCACATGTTTATTACTCAGCACAAAAGTTGTAATCTGTCTGAGGTAGTCCCAAGGAAAGAAAACCAGTTTATGTCAGGAATAACAGGCATAATCGTGAATGTTTTGCAAGACAGAGGCAATTTTGATTGAAAAAAATATATGAGAAGAAGTGGAAGCTAAAATGAAAAATAATGTGGAATTCATTCTGTTAAGGTGTAAATGCAATCATTTATTTGGAACACAATGAAGTACAATGGATTTTTAAAATTTAATAATTGAGGAGGAGATAGTAAACAGTGTGATGATTATAGTGTACAAAGAAACTTAAATTTTTTACTGTGAAATTTTCATTCAACTTGAATGGATCAAGTTGTGAGTTATTATAGGCATCATACATGGTGAATACCTAGTGTCTCCCCACATGGTTTTCTGAGGTATTGGACCAGTAAAATTACTCTTCAATGATGTCAGTATGCATGGGGTTCAGAGACACACATCCATAATTGCAGGTACTTGAGAGGCAGAGGCAGCCTCTCAGGTTTACAGCAAACCCTGGAATTGAAAAAACACCCTGTCTCCCAGTATAAAGACTTGGGATCTGAAGTAAGCATTATAGTATTTTGCAAGGATACACATGTTTGGGGGTAAAATACATAGGCCCACACACAAACAGCAATAAAAATTTCACACATGATATATATTCTTCTAAAGTAAAACTTCAATAAAAATATAACTGGACAAATAAAATTATATGATTATTAGTACTCTTCCTTTTTATAATTTGGATAATTTGTCTTTCACATGAATTTTTTTAAGTATTTTAAGTTTATCTGTGCATTTGTCAGCAGAGTTAAATTTGGACAGATCATCTGAGGCAGAACAGAAGAGGCTTCATGATATGGATGATACTGCACATCACCAGCAAAAGGTAGGCATATGTGTCCATTTAAATTCTTTTTCTTGCTTCCAGATGCCAATTGAAATGACCTACTACAGTACTCTTTGAAAATCCAAACATAGTAATTAAATATTTAAGTACAGAGAAGTTAACTGGTCATCAATATCAAAATAGCTTTAGCAATCAAGGTGAATGACAGATAAACTTTATGCAAGTAATTGCACTACTATTTTCCAATAATGTTTGCATTTTCATCTATGTGACAGCCTTAAATGGTGAATGATAAATTGCAGAATATCATATCAGTTGAAACTAGGAACATGCATAAATGCAATGACCGCTGAACACATTCATGTAAAAATAGCTTCATTCCCAAAGGCTCAGTGTTTAATTTCACATTAGCTGTCACCCATGACAAGGTTAACGATGTTTTTCTCCATGGATTCCTGTGTCTTTACTGAGGAAGATACCAGACTTAAATGAGACCCAAAACTGCCTGTTAATGGAAAATGATTCAGGATGGGTACTTTTCTGTTAATATACATACAGTTTCTATTGATTTTATGTCATTTCCTTTCAAGAAATCAATTCACTTATTAAACATATTTTTTTCTTAGTATCTAGATGTTGTTAGACCTAAGTCATTGGATGCAATTATTGAGAAATCATGAAATTTGGGAGGTGTATTTTTCCTCTGTTCTCATGTTGTCTGTGTTAGTAAATTGTGGATTTCCATGCATTTGAATGGATTTCTGTTCCATAGTGTCTCCTGGGTACTTGGAGTGTGCAAGTTTCTCTTTGGGATGTTTCCTGGACAGGGTTTATAGATGAGGATCACATCTGAAAAATGAGCATGTTTAACATGTTACTTTCACTCACAAGTATCTCTGTAAGGGGAGAGTATCACAGAGCCACCATCACCTTGCCAGGGTAGTTTCCTGCTCAGAAGGTGTAAGCCACCTGGGAAAAAGAAAGTCTCAAATAATTAGTAAGGAAATAAGAGACAGAGCCAGAAATTAAGTTTGAAAAGGAAAGCAGAGCTCCTGAAAGGTTCCCCAATCCCAGTAGAAGCTGGAACTGAACAACTAGAAAAAGGATCAAGTTGTTTATTTAAGGGAGAGTAGATCAAAGGCAGAGATAAGTTTTTAGCGGGAGGAATATTGCTTTTTGGTGTGTTAGGGTTCTTGCAGCAATGAAGTTGATTGGCATCTTGACAGGCCACACCCAACTCTGAAAGGCTGTGTAGCTGTGTGGCTCCAGCTGGTCCACCCATCTCCAGTGCAGTGCTGAACCTGACACAGCTTTGTAAGAAGCCAGTGGCTTCTAAGTCAATTTGCTTCACACCAAGTTCGCATTGGCTCCTGTCAGGAGAGAATAAACTCCAATAATGATCACAGCATAAACCAAAATATGTATCCACTGTACATAAAATATTATGTTTTAAATGATCTCCAGAGCAGCACAAAATGAAGAGATGGAGTAGGAAATAACAAGGTTAACCTGCAAAAAAAAAAAATATATCCTGGTTATAATATAATTATTGGAACATATTTCAAAAAAGTAAGTAGAGTGAAAGTGGTGAGAGTAAGCAGAGTCAGAATAGGAGTAGAGGAAAAAATGCAATAAAAATGAGAAATGAAAAGATTTAAAATGAGAATAAAAATTGTCTCTGGCTAACCAAAAAAAAATGAATGAATGGAATAAATGTCTCAAATAAATAGAAAGAGAAAAATAAATAACATGGAAAACTCATAAAAATTATCAAACAAAAATATCAGAAACAATAATAGCAA